AAGAATATTAAAAAACTTTCACTTAAATTAAAAAACCCTTCATTTAAATCTTGATAGCCACCCTCAAGCGCATTCCTCCAAATAAAGTCTATCCTAGTGACATTTCTCAAAGCCAAATCTGGTTGGTTAATTGAACACTGAACTATGATGTCACAACTACTGAACTGAACACTGAACTGTGATGTCTATGTGACTATGGCAGAGATTTCCACAGTGAGTATTACTGAGAACTGCAACAGGTGAGCAGATTTCCATTTAAAAAAACAAACACTGCACACTTCTATGTAGTCATTTTAAAAAAGCTGAAAAGGTTATATATACAGGAACAGTTTAACTAGGAACAGTGGCTTCACAGTTATGAAAAGCATGAAATTCAGGTTTCAAATTGGATTTTTTTGGACTTTTACACTAAGACAGTGTTACTATCTGGCAAAGAATTGAAACACGTTAAAAAATTCCTGTTACTGCCAACAGTTTGTTCAACAGTTAATGACACTACTTAAGAAAAAACTGCCTCTGTCCTATCCATTTGGGGTAACGAAAAAGAGATAAGCTTTTACTTTATATTAATTCCCATGTTAGTGTATAATCTGACCCAATGAACTTTGGTAAGTCTTAACCTGTGTTACTGAAAACTTCAAGCATGATAAACATCCTACATTTGTAATTGGACTTTCACTGCTGCGCCAGCATGACACTAACAAGTTGTCTAATGTATCTTTTTTTTACAGAAAAGCTGCATGAACAAGGATCACACGGCAGTGAGAAGCAAACGCTGCTGATGGTTACATACTAGTCTCCTTAGCTTTATTCCAACTTAAGTTTCACAACCTGAAAATCCTTTATCCTAACTGAAGTAAAAAAAGTTGCCCTCCCACTGCGATAAACAAAGCTTGGGAATCTCAGAAGCGCAAAATGTCTGCCTGTCTACCAAATCACCACAATCCCAATCAAAAATTTTGGGAGGAAATACAATCCAGTCCTGAAACAAATAGACCAGAAGGTTAAAATGTGACCTATGCACTCCTCGTGATACTCTTTAAGAACAGTACATAATTATCTCTCTTTTTGTTGTTAACTGCCTTCGCGTCGGTCTCACCCCATGGCGACCCTATGGATGATACTTTTCCAGATCCCCCTGTCCTCTACTCCTTTGCCCAGCTCCTGCAAATTCATGTTTATGGTCTCTTTAATAAAGTCCATCTATCTAGCATGTGGCTCTCTTCTCTTTCTACTTCCCTCCACCTTTCCTAACATCATTGTCTTTTCCAACGATTCATGCCTTCTCATGATATGTCCAAAGTACGACAGTCTAAGTCTTGTCATCTTGGCTTCTAAGGATATCTCTGGCTTGATCTGTTCTAGGACCCATTTGTTTGTCCTTTTGACTGTCCATGGGATCCTCAGCATTCTTCTCCAGCATCACATTATCTCAGATGCCTTGATTTTCCTCCTATCTACTTTCTTGACTGTCCACCTCACATCCATACATGGTAATAGGAAATACAATGATTTGTATGATTCTGACTTTTGTGCTGAGTTGTATGTCTTTGCATTTTAGAATCTTTTCTATTTTTTTCTTAATCTTCTTCTGATTTCTTGGCTGCAGTCCCCGTTCCGATCAA